CCGGTGCACACCCGAGTGTGGCAGGCCTGCCCACCAGGGTGGGCGCCTGTGACGCGGTGGGTAGGCCACCCGGTGCACACCCGAGTGTGGCAGGCGGGCGTCGACGGCCACGAGGTGCGCGCCGTCCACCCAGGTGGGTAAGCGCGCGCGAGGTGGGCGAGATGCGATCGCCGCCGCGCCAGGGCCGACAGGAGCGGGCGCGGCAGGACGCCCGGAAGGAGCGCAAAGCTCGTAACAATAAATAAGTCACCCCTTAGCGTCCCGTCCCGCCAGGGCTGTCCCGTCCGGCCGCCCCGCCATACACCCCGCCCTGCCCCGGAATGCTACCCCTTAGGAGGAATGCGCGCCCGGCGCAGCGCGGCGCCACCTTAGGGTCAGCAGTGCGGGAGAGGGAGCCAAGACTTGAGACGCAGCCTCACCCACGCAAGGTTAGAATAACTGAACTAAAAATTCACTTTATGACAGTGCGGATCTTACGAAAGTCTCAGACAACTTTCAACCTCTTTCTGTTATCTCCACGGCACTGTCGCAACAAAACATCCCTTGTAAAACGGTTTAATTTCTATGTAATTTATGAGATATCACTCAGTAATTAAAGTGTAATTAAGTAGCAGAAATTAAATTAGAATGTAATTTAAAAGTAATTTAGTGCATTTCGGGTCATTAACCGTTTATTACATGTTAATTTAAAGTTAATTTAAAATAAATTAAAGACGCATTGCCCAGAATAGGTCTAAGTCCTCAAATGAACAGTAAACTGCAATGTTATTTAACTTTAATTAAAACCATACTCAATTTTGGGTGCTGTCAAATATTTTATGTAAGTAAATGGAACTTTAATTTAAGGGTAATTAAGTTACTTTTCATTTGAGGACTTAGAAATTTTCTGCGTGCAATATTTAATTAAGCCTTAATTAAAGTTTGATAAATTACCCGTTAATTACACCGTAATTAAAATCTTATGACTGACATCTGGTCTAAGAAAGACATCCTCTCCGGCCCTAAGCCGTACCAAGAAGCCGTGGTGGCAGAGTGGTTAGCATAGCAGACTTGTAACACGAAAGTCGCGGGTTCGATTCCCCAAATTTGGCTTTTTTTCTCATTAAAATGTAAATAACTACCATCCGTTAACATTACATTAAACCACCAAAATTCAATTACTGAGTAATTGAACATAAATTAGTTTTAAATGAATTTTAATTACTGAGTAATTACATTTCGGACCTTTAATTTAAACATAATGACATGTTAATTTAACAGTCTCAAATTACCAGCAAATTACCACGTAATTGAACACTAATTTAGTTTTAATTTAACCTTTTCTCAAGGGCATAGCACAATTTTTCTGTTTACCTTGTGTATGTAAGTATATGGTTGTATATGGTTGAACTTACAACTTACTGTATTTTCTTTTTGGGACAGCCACTTCCAAATCTTCAGTTGCTCCTTCCTCTTGGGCCTATGGAAAATATAAAAATAAATGCCCCGAAAGAGGACCGCCACTGCCTCCTGCTTCACGAAGCTCCCCCCTCCCTTTTTTCTGATGAGCTCTCCGCCCCCTTCAGATTCCATCGAATTAATCATGACGACCAAACGAAAAAGGGGTTTAACGATTCTTTTGAAGGCCATCAAGAGACTCCCCCGGCCGGTGCCGAGGCCGGTACACCCCATATAAAAGTGGCTACACTATATCGCCCGTTTATATTGCCTGCTTTGCGATGGATGACGGCCGGATCGACGCGCCTCAATAGCGCCGGGACGCTAGAGCGTCGGGGCAAAAGCAAGCTGTATGCCGGCCGACAATCCACTCCAGAGCCACTCCACTCCCCGCTCGCACGCTCGTACTCATAGTGTTTGTAACGTATACACTACATTTTCTATTGTACGGTAGGGATAGGGAGAGAGAGAGTTGGAGGACGGGAGAGAGGTTAGGTTCGGCTGTATTAATATACCGGCGTAAGTATGGTATTTTCGTCAACATGATGCCACAGGAGTTAATGTAGCGTCTCTGAGAGCCGCTCTGGGTCACCACGCCCCTCC